GGTAAACATAAATTTTTTTTTTTTAGATGTTTAGTATTATGATTAGCAATATAAAAATGTGTGTTTATGTTTGTATATATGTATACAGTATATACACTACTGTTCAAAAATTTGAAGTTGGTAAGATTAAAAAAATATATATTTTGAAAGAAATCGCTCATGTTCACCCAGGGTTGCATTTATTTGATCAAAAATACAGTAACAATACAGTAACAACATTACAATTAAAAATTACAATTACAATTTAAAACAACTTTTTAATACAGATTTTGAATTCTTTTAAATTCTTTTTTTTTTTTTTATAAATTATAATTTAATTATAATTTATATTACATATATAAGTTTAAGTGAAAAAACTTAAGGTAAGGTATTGTTAACTTAAAAAGGTAAGGTATTGTTTTACTGCTAAATTGTTTTGCTGGGTGTTTTTCTGCTAAAATGCAGATATGTCCCATGGGCTTTTATTTTAAGTGCAATAGTGTAAATGTGATTACTGGATGGTTTTTTACAACAAAAAAAAAAAGAAAAAAAACTGTAATAACCAGAATGCTGTTGCTACAACACAAAACATTCCCTTTAATATTTAGTGTGTTTACATCATAACCACTAGTGGGAGCTCCTTCATAAGAAGAATCTATATGTGAACTGAATCCTACAATGGCTCCAGTTCCCAATGTTAAATCATTTAATTAGAGTATTACATATAACCCTGTATGCTTTTCTAACATTTTTTTCCCTTATCACTGCACAACAAACACACAAAACTGACCTTTTGGGGTCTCCTTTCTGCACCTTCACCCAGTGCTCGACCTGAGCCAGCGCAGTTTTCCTTTGCACCTTTTTCTCTGTGTCTGTACGGGGGACGAGACCCCTCTTATACACCACGTTCCCGTTCTGATCAGGAGGTATGCCCGAGGGGGGCAGCCCGTTCCTGTGAGTGGGCACTGTGGAAGGTGGGCGACAATGGGCACCTGATTGGGAAATCCCTTCCATCTCCAACTCTCCAGAGGAGATTTTAACAGGATCCTCCATCAATTCCTTGCTGTAAACGTAGCAGTCCTCCCCATCTCGCTCCGGCCTCAGCTCTACCACCTCCACATGTGCTGTCTGCTGGAGGGCCTCGGCCTGGGAGGAGCTTTTGATGCTGCTGCAGAAATGGTTGGTCTGAGGGACTGCTTGCTGCTCAGATTTGAAGCTTCTTTCGGCTTCTCTGTGGAAGGAGAGATAGTTATTTAATAGTAGAAAACAAACAGTTAATATTTGACCTTTAACATGAGATTTAACTTAAGACTTATTTCCGATGATGCATCAGTATTAGGAAGTAAACAGGACAGAAGAGAGTTTAGACTTTTGCATGAATTATACAGTAACTGAATCTACAACTCAATGTACAGATAACTGACCTTGTACCGACTATCATCAATGGTGAAAACAGATGCTGCTTCAATTTTTTTGTGTGGAAACCAAACTCTTTTTGTGCCCAAATGAAGACAGATTTGGTTTCAAAATATTCAAAAAGGGATTTTTTTTTTTGTTGTTGGACTAATTATTCCTTCCTACACAGGTGATAGGTGGCATAACTTGATCATTTTAGTATATTTTAGTCTAATTTGACCAGATATGGCATAATTAACAAATCCATTTGTTGTTATTGTTGTTATTGTACAAATTAATGTATCAATTAATTTAATTTCATCAGTTAATTTAAGGTCATCATTTCAGCTACTCGTTTTCTTACTAGATCAGCCCAAACACATAACTGACAAAAGCATTCACTAATTTAGAAATGATTTTAAAAGTTATTATTTAAAACACATTCATGATACATTTACAAATGAAACTCAAAAGGAAACTTGAAATGCATCAAAGCACATTAAAAATCTAATTGATAAAGGTAAAGTCATCATGTGCAATACTGTCAATCTATCCCTAGATGGCACTGTTATATTACTTTCAAAATCTCCCTCAAATCTAGGGCCTACAGAGGAACCTCAAAACAGTACAGCAGCACTAACGTTGACATTTCACCGCTCATCGTGATCAGACAGGTGGTCAGGCATCAGATTGGCAAGTATAGCAACACTGCCAACAATCCACATACGTGTGTAAAAGCATTTGCCTACAAAATCCAACAAATACAGCCACTACACTAGCCCTACCAACCATAAATGACATTATAAACCACCTTCAGGGTTATTAACCACCTACTCTCCTTTTTTATGAATACTATAAAAGCCCAGCTATAAGGAAAGCCCTAGGGACAAACCCTCTCTGCACTCATGGAAGTGAAGAGCATGGGGGCAGCACACTAACATCACGCCCCAGTCCAAGTGTTGTGTTCTGGGCTGGTGGCCCACAGTCAGCTGGCTGCAGCGTGCCGCAGTGATACTCCTCCCCAGAGCTGCAGTGTCAAAGTGTACACAACTATGGCACTGTGCCTCTGCACCAGCACAACAGCAGCATATGAGTGAGTACACCATGCTGTTTTTGCTGTACCCATGATCTATACATCACATCAGACATGAGCTTAAAGGAATAGTTCACCCAAAAATTTAAATTTGCTGAAAATTTACTCACCCCCAGGCTATCCAGAATGTAGATGAATTTGTTTCTTCATCAGAACAGATTGAGAAATTTAGCCTTTGATTACTTTCTCACCAATGTTTTCTCTGCAGTGAATGGGTGCCATCAGAATGAGAGTTCAAAGAGCTGATAAAAACATCACAATAATCCACAAAATAAAGAACCATTTAGAAACGAAAACAGTCCAAAACAGATCTACTGGACTGGAGTCATGTGGATTACTTGTGGACTATTGTGATGTTTTTTCAGCTGTTTGGACTCTCATTCTGATGGCACCCATTCACTGCAGAGGATCCATTGCTGAGCAAGTGATGTAATGATACATTTCTACAAATCCATTCTGATGAAGAAACAAAATCATCCACATCGTGGATGGCCTGAGGGTAAGTACATTTTCATTTTTAGGTGAACTATTCCTTTAAATAACTAGTCCACAGCATACAGCTACAGTTTATTAATGACATTAGCATTTCCAGTGAATGTAATACCTATCTTAAAAAGGATCCAAATACTTTCGAGGACAGCAAATTGTCCCCATAATGAATTTATTGAAGTAGCAATTTCAAATACACAACCAAGTCAGCACAAAGAGCAAAGCTGCAGTCACATTGAGCCTAGAAAATTACTTTAGACCCCAAAATACTGCAAACCAGGCAATTTTTAGGTTTGTGTATGCTTTGAATTCAGCCAAGAGGTCAATTTGTGATGTTTAGATGCTCTTTAGGTCAGTTATAAGATTAATATCTTTGTGCTTTGGGAATTCGCAGTTCAGAGCTTAACAAACTTAAATTTGAGTACACAGTGAACGACAACAGTTTTTATTTTATTTTATTTATTTATTTTGCATGTGCATGCCAGCCTCCCGAGTTGAATACAAATGAATGGAGCTCAAAGTCAAGAATGGCTTTGACAAGAATGACAAGAATGAACCCTGATAGATGGCTGACATCATTGGACAGCCTTCACTAGATCAATTAAACTTAACAGTAGTGCAGAAACCATTTAGACCACTTCACTTCTATTGTGCATGAAATTCTCATAGCTGGAAATATCAATCATCACATCACATCACATCACATACAGGCCAAGGCAAAAGAACATAATATCAAAGTAAAGAAAATAAAGTTTAAGTGACAGTAATGAGTGTTAAATACAGGAAATTCAAGTGTAAGGAGAAAGCAGTGAAGAGAAAAATTAATACTATACTGGGTTATTTTCTCAAAATGTCTAAAATTGTAAGCCAGTTCTTAAAGAAAAATGAACTTTTGACTTTTTTTAATGTGACATTTTTCCGAGAAAGAATATGTAAGGGAACTTTTAAGGACATCTGTGGGGGATCTGTATGGACAAAATCCACAGGGATTTGACTGGACCATGAGGTAGTGAAAAATATTACAGTGATATTATTGGGTAGTATTATTTTTCTCCAGCCATTCAGTCTTGGCCATGTCAGCAGAAAATAAACGTTTTTTCAGAGGTCCTATTTATTAAAACAGTGTATTTCTATGAATCCAACACAATCAGGAAGATTTATCAAGGACGTTTTTTTTTTCAATCCATCGTTGTCTATTATTTTATATTTTTGTATTTTGATGTATTTTTTATGTTTTTATGCATTTGCTGTCTGCTTTTCCTCGTTTGTATTATGTCTGACAAATAAAATCACTATTTGAAAAAATAAATAAATAAAGCAAGGGTTATCCTGTTGTATTTAATGGAATATAGTGCCCAGGTCTCTGAGATACTGATCTTGTTTCTAGACACTAGCCCTGAGAAAAGATTTGCAGCAGCAGGAGGTGACTGACCTCTTCACGCCATGGCTCTGCATCAGCGCAGCCTGGTTCATGGCCCGGATCCAGCCATTCATGTCCTCTTGTGTGTCAGCGCTGAAGAAATAGGTCCTCATGCCACAGTGCTCGGCCTGCGAGCCAATCAGAGAATTCTTATTGTAAATGTAGGAGCGCATTCCCGTGTGGCAGGCCTGAGGGAGAGACAGAGACAGAGGGGACCATCAGCTCTGACCATACATAGAGGTTGCACATGCACGTGAGGCACCAGACCAGAAGGCCCCAGTATAACAAGCTCAGGAGTCATGCTCAACTGGTCTGTTTATTTTGGTCATCAGAGCTGAGGAAATGGCATTTAAGAGGATTACCAACCAATGATAACTACATTATCATTGTTACAAATACTACCATGCACTTCAGTCAAATGATCTGCACTAGTGGTCTGTACTGTGCAAGCATTTGAGACTTTTGTTGAAAAATAATGAATTAATAATTGTTGTACTGCAGTCAGACTACGCTTCAGAACATGGAAGTCCATTATGCCTTGGAGTATAAAAGCTGATAACCATGAGAAAGTTTAAAATAAACTTTGTGAGACAGAAAGTCGAATTTTTGAGATATACAATAGTTCAAAAAATGTTGGGTCGGTAAGTTTTTATAATGCTTATAAAAGAAGTCTCCTACTCACCAAGGCTGCTTTTATTTGGAAAACAGTAAAACAGTAAATGAAGTATTATAATGTAATAATTGAAAACATTTTAAAATAACCATTTATATTTTAATATATGTGATTCTTTGGATTCTTTGACTAATAAAAAAGTTCTAAAGAACAGCAGTTATTTAAAAATTGAAATCTTTTTTTTTTAATTACAAATGTCTTTACTGTCAATTTTATCAATTGAATGCATCCTTGCTGAATAAAAGTATTAATTTCTTTCATAAAAAATGTGGGAAACAAATATGGAACATAAAATTTTGAGGTATAAAATCACAGTTCTAAACAATAAAGTTGTAACTGGAAGAAATTAATTTATGTGGACATTAAGTCGCTATTTTGAGTTAAAACATCAGTAACCTTTTACTTTTTTTTAACCCTGAGGTAGAAACAGGCTTCCATAGAATAAAAACCCATCAATGTCAGGAAATCAACATTGAAGATCTGAACTCCAACCTTCAGTACACAGCATACAAATGATAAATAAATAAACCGAGCCGTTCCTGCAGAGGAGAGATGATTGAAATTCTTTTCTACTTATTTCACGTATTCCAGCAGTATCATATAATTTACTTCAGCAGAAGGTTTACACACAAGTGTCTCTGTACATGCACTCCCCCTCTTCATTTGGTTATCAAGTGTACACACAAGTGTTCAAATACTTTTTGGGTCAATTGTACATGCCAAACACACTACACAAATGTAAAAAAAAAAAACACAATATTAAAGATGCACACAAATACTTAAATAAACAAAGCTGTTAATTTCCTTACTCTGTTTAATGCCAGGGTTAACAGCCCCCCCAGCTAAACTAGCTCCATGCACCTTCTGTTCACTAAATCTGCTACTGCCAAAATGCAACTGTTGGTCTAATCTCTCTGATGGGGGTACGGCCACCACTCACACATCTAAACGCTTACAAACAGAGTCCAGCTCAGCGCTTTTGCCAGTCCCACCCAGACCCATTCAGACAGGCGGCAGACTGTCCTTTCCACCTCTACAACAACACACACACAGAGCTTACATCTGGTAACATTGACTCATTCTGTAGAAAGTCAATGCAGCGGCCTTTGGGCTACATCGAAGGTGCCTCTTAATTCACAACTCGACAGCTGCGTCTCTGCTCATGGCACATCTCTTCTGCCTCTCCAGGAGTCTATTATCCCGCATGTCACACACTAATGACTAAAGCAGCCCCTCCAATATCGGCTCCTGAAGTCTTCATATTATCCTACTGTTTTCTCATCGACTTTGTTGCAGTTCTTTGCCTGATAGCACACATGCGTTGACCAGAGAAGTCTATATGATGTGTGCGTTGTCATCTGAAAAACATATCTGCAAATCTGAACACTCAAAATGATTGACAGACTGTCTAAACAAGTGTCCTGCATTCTTCTGCAGTTTACAGACCCTAGTGCTGTCAGAACCGTGTCATATCTCAGGATACTTGTTTCAGTGATCTGTAAGGACGTAGAGAATTTTTTTAATTGTTATTCTATTAAAAAATGCTTTTAATTTCATATAATAAAATATATTACTCATATGCACACATCTACACATACAAATATGAATAAACAAAATAGCAGAAAGGAAAAATAAGGCACAAATCTAATAAGCATTAATCACATTTTATCATGACAAACAATGAGAAATGGAAGACAAAACCTGGGCAAGAGAAAAGTGATTTCAGTGCCTATTATAATATATCAAGTATCAGCTGCTGAAGGAAAGCATGTCTGCTGATATATATTCGTCTCACATTCCTGTCTTTAAGAAGTTAATGACCTCAGATTACCCATCTAGTCCTGGGCTTTCATTCAGCATTATCTCTCTAAGAGGGATATGCAGTAATTAATCAGAGGAATTTGCTCAATCACTCAACCCCTTCAGAGGTTAAAGGAATATTCTGGGTTATTTACTACTTAATATCTATGGACAGCATCTGTGGCACAAAAAGCAATGTTCCTAAGGTTGTGAAAAATGACCAAAAACAGAACTGTAGTTTAACTGTTATGAAAGCAGGGGTGCCAGAACATATAAAATATACAACTGTTGCAAAAGATCAGCCATAAAAAAAGTTATTGTGTTTGTAATGTTAAGTTATGTCCAATATAAAAAAAAATGTTTTTGTCCGAGGGACAAATCTTATAAATTCGAAGTTATATTTGGGGTATTCAAAAATATGCCACAAATGTTGTCCACAGATTAGATGTTGTAAATGACCTGGAATATTCCTCAGAAAGAAATTATATTTAAGTTAAACATTCAAGAAGACACTGCATACATACATACATACATACATACATACATTTGTTTAATGCCAAAACCTATCCTTTGGCCTTAATGTCTGTGAGAAATTCACATTTGGTTAAACACATACATAATAGTACAGAATAACAATTCAGATGTGTTATACATTAAAAGTTTGGGGTCATTAATTTTATTTAAAGAAATTACTACTTTGATTCAGCAAGTATGCAACAAATTGATCAAATGTGACAGTAAATATTATAAATGTTACAATGCTGTTCTTTTGAACTTAATGTCACAGTTTCCATAATAAAATATATAGCAGCACAACTGTTTTCAAAACTGGTGATAAGAAATGCTTCTTGAAAACCAAATCAGCATATTAGAATAATTTCTGGAGGAGTAATGGCCACTGAGAATTCAGCTTTGTTGTCACAACAATAAATTACATTTTTAAATATTTTAAAATGTATTTAAAATATCAAAAATGTAATATTTCGCAATATTACTGTTTTTACTTCATTTTTGATACAACAACATTAAATAAATCTTACCGACCCCAAACTTTTGAACGGTAGTGTATATACAAAAAAAATTAAATATAATATGCATACAAGTTAACAACTTCATATTATAGTTACAGTACTGAAAATTGAAAAGTGACTCAATAGCATATGAGAGTGTAGAAATGTGTGGATGATAACCAACACTGGAAATACTGATGCATGTGATGAAGTGAGAAGAGGAATTGAGCAATGCCAGTCTGCAACAGTCCTTATCTTTACTATGAGATTCACACATTCATAAGGACATATCAGCATATCCAATATTCACATCAGGTAGATGAATATGAAGACAGGATTGTCGAGCTGGCATTGCCTGTTCCTGAGGAAGCAGAATGAGTTGCAGAATGCATGCTGAAACACATCAATGCACATGGGCTATGTGCATTTTTCATCTGCATAGGAAAATGCCATACAGGGATGGTGATGGAGTGGAGATCTGCTGATAGTAATGAATGGAAATTAAAGTACCTATTCATGCAAGAGGCTGACTCAGGAGACGGCCCTTCCACCAGATGCACCCGGTTCAGCTCCCATAATGCACCAGGTCACAACAGGAAGCAATAGGCCAATAGGAATGAGAGAATAAGTGTGAGTTGTGCAAAAACAGAGGGAGGTGAATCACGGCCTATGTGAAAAATGTTAACCAAAACTAGAAGATGTGTTGAAATGTCCCTGGTTGTGAAATATCAGTCAGATAAGCAGGGTGAGTGGAAATGCAATTAACATTAGAGGCAGCACAGCTAAGCAGAAATACGCCACTGGGAGAGCAAAAGTACAAAACTCCAGAGAACAGGACAAGATGAGTAATAAACATCATAATATTTAACTGCTGTAGCTGAATAAATGAATCAATTAAAGCTAAGAATCATGAGTTCTTCTATGCCTAAATTCAAATACATGACATATCATATCCTATATGAAAAATAAGACCTTTCATGACTTCATATTCTTAGATCTGTCAACAACCAGACAGTTGATTCTCTGAAAAGAACATATTCTTAAGAATCATTAATTTGGTATTCAGGCTGCACTGTATGTTTTTGATTCACTCAAAAACTGCTCATACTCAAATTTGCAGTCACATTTACCATTGTTCTGTGAATTTTTTGTGCAAAATCCAGGCATTTCAATTTAGAATTCAATAGAGATTTGACCAACAGATCATATTTAAATACAGAAATTAACCTTACTACAGACAGTTCTAAAGATATCTTAATATTACAGAAAATAAACATGCAAGACTCTTCTTCACATGTACAGTATGCAGACAAACTAATTAATTGCTGACTAAGAGAAGACAGTTAGAGCAGAAAACATTAGACAAACAGCATACCTTACGGTCTAATTCACATGAAAATAAAGCAGCCAGATGTTCAAATAGCTGCTGGCTAGTTTCACTGATGGAGATCTCCTAACTAAAAACCTGCTAATTAACACCCAGAGCACCAATGAGAGAACAGGGCCCCTCACCTTGCTCTGGTACATTACAGACTGTAGGGCAAGTAAGAGGGAGGATATTAGAAATAGAGTAGATGTATAATTAACCTGCCTGCTGGCACAATATTCAAACAAATTCCAGCACTGGGGAATACGGGCAGGGTAATGGAGTTTGAACGATGCACTGTGTACCCATAGGGAAGAATGACTGAGCGGAGGAAATGAATGAGCTGCAGTGATGGGATCAAACATTCCTGGAGTATTGTTCTTCAGAAGAGGCTGAAGAAGGTGCTTTAGGAGGAGACCGAGGTAGATTAAGCAAAAACGCAAAGCTTGACACAAATTTCAAAGTTAGAGGTTAGCTATCAGTGAAAAAATGCTGTTTTTTCCACCTCTGTGGTACAAGGGTTTAAGCCAGACTTGATTTTCCAGAGCATTAGGTATAATAGAAATGGTTTTAAGCCTTCTGGGATATTCTGTTCTTAAACATTATTTCACTGTCCGCCAGACTGCAACAGTGGGAGGAAGTTTGTGAGGCTCAATGGAAACTTGCCATAAAATAGGCCTCACTCAGAGAAGGGTTTAGATAATGATGTTCCCATGTCCGCTCTGTGAAAGAGAACAGGACTGTGGAAAACTTGTTGAACGAGTTGGGTGGAAGCTCAGTGTGAATTCCTGTGAGCAAACAGCAGCTTTGGTGATGACAGCATTGTGATAACAGACATCGAGGGGAACAGTACCAGTCAAAAAGAGATGGGCTATTCCAAATTTAAAGAATAAGTCATGAGAGGCTGCAAGATACAGTGTTTTACCACATTTGAACCATGCTGGTAGATAACACAAAGCTCAAAAAGCTCTACCTAATCAGCACTATGATTAAAAAAACTGTAAATAATCAAATTCAATATTTTTTAAATTAGTGTTGCATTTAATCAAACATTGCATATATTTCAATAATATAGTTAGTAATACAGTATAGTAATATAATAATATAGTATATCATATAATAATATAGTATTAATATACTATATTACAATGTGATGCATTTATATAAAATATGAGACGCTTCTAACTTGGCTCGTTTTGAGGGTCTGAGGGTCTTCATCTCCATGACAAGAATATATTATGGTGCTTTTCCACTGCGTGGTATGACTCGGCTCGGCCCGGCACGGCTCAGCAGCATGGCTCGGTTTGCATTTCCTCTGAAGTTTAGTATCGCTTTAGAGTGGGCGGGATTATTCACATGTCGTTATAGTTGCGCCCCCTCTATTGCCGCGACTCCTGAAAAACTTTTTCATTCCGCGTCGCCCCATCAAGCTCGCTGGATCCGCTCCTCTATCAACGAGAGGAACGTCTGTACTTCCCCAACAGACACCGAAACAGACACTTTTTGGTTGTTAAAAAAGGTGCGCTCGTTCAAAACAGTTGCGTTCGATCCTTCGCTGGCTGTGCTGATTTAAATCTAGCGGTTCTGTTGTTTGTGTCGCAAGTTCAGTGACGCAGGTAGTGACGATTCTCTCCGGCCAATCCGTGATCAGCAGAGTTTACACGTCACGTTTTGGTAACTGTACGGTTCACTTGGAACCTCAACCGAGGTGGTACTAAAAAAAGTACCAGGTACCAGGTTCTGTACCCAGTGGAAAACCCCCCAAAAGTGAACCGTACCGAGCCGTACCGTGCCGTACCATGCAGTGGAAAAGCGCCATTAGATAACTGAGTACAGGAACATGATGCTATTAGTTAAAACAAGCAGAGTTTTAGTTGAGTCCCTTATGAGGTTGTGAGCACCCTGAGCAGAGAAAGCTTACTCAGTGGTCTGTGTGGTCAGAAGAGGGCAGAGAGGGGAGCCAAACAACTGCCACATTAATCAGTCATCCCTGACTGCTGCCCACACAACACCACTGATAATATGCCACATGACACAGACTTCCTGAAGGCGTAGCCAATGAAGCCAGTGAAGGTGAGCCTACACACAGGAACAGAGTAGCATTAGAGTGCAGATTATCATGATGCTCTTACCTTGAAGGCATACTTGCGGCTGATGTGGTCCTCGGGTCCCACGGGGGAAATGACATAGCTGGGCAGAGGAATGCTACCCAGAACCGTCTCCTCTCGACTATCTGTGAGCAAAGTACAGATGTTAGGTGAAAATATTTGAAAATGGTTAGATTACAATTGAACAGTGGTTAGTTTGTTTGTTGGCAATACTCTTAAACACAGATGACAGAAAGTAAGTGAGATGCCACTCTGTCCACCAAAATGATTAAAGATCAAAACAGTGCTATACTTAATGTGAACTGTAAAAATCATATGATTATTCAATATGATATGTGCAAGCAAAAAACCTGAAAAACCTGCTATTGCGTATTAAATTATAGGTACTCTCATAATAATGTATTAAAGAAATGATGTGTTTTACTTATAAAACATGATTACTGTGCAATATAATTAGAGACTGTTTTAGATAATTGCAGCTAATTAAAGCTGAGTATTATAACTCACCTTTATAGTAAAACAGGCAGTAATCAGACAACACAAACCATTTCCTCTTCCACAGTCTCATGCCTGAGCTGTCCTGATGGTGGAAGAACAATAATCGGCCCACAAAATAATTTTCAGAAAATTTAAAAAATAAATAAATAAAATAACAGTCAGTTCATCATCCAACATCATCCAACCAATGTAAATATTAGTATTAGCATTTAATTGAAGGCCCCTTTGTTTAGACTGAATATTTATCTAATATGCTATGTTGAATAACATGTTCAGTTAATCAGCTTATTGCCTGTGGGTCTTAGTTCATCATAAGGCCTAATTAAGAACTAATCTAACATCTGAACACTATTCAGTTCAGATCAAAATTAGATTCTGTAATCACTCGCATTAGGGTTTCACTTTTGAGGGCCGCACCTGTTTGTAGAGCCATCCTCTTACCACCACTGGGACATTAGGGTTCCTTTTGATGGAATGGTCACGCTTGCCAAAGCAATGCACCTTCCCACTGGGTTTCAAACTCTATGGAAAAAGAAAAAAGAAAACCACTTGCTTCATTTGATTTGATTAAAAATGCTGCATACATAGGCATCAGTAAGGTAAAGTGGCATCCAAAAGCATTTGGATGCTTGACTTTGTTATTTTTTAAGTGTGGCCAAAGTGTCAAAAAACATTCTGGGGCTAATTTATGTTCAAGGAAAACACTTTTGCTGCAAAATGCTTACAATAACAGAGTTTGTTGCATTTATTAATCTTGATCCGTATAAAGTTCAATTCAACTGATCATTTGTCAACATTAATAAAAGACGGCACAGCTTTATTAGGCTGCTGTCACAAGACCTATTTCACGGATCCAATACTGATACTCATGCATTTTGTTTTGCAACTGTTTACATTAACTTAAGACAAAACCGACAGTACTTTCTCAATTTGGTACTCGCAGTCAGGGCCACATTAACCATTGGGCTAGGCGGGGCTGAAGCCCTGGGGCCCGGACAAGGAGGGGGCCCGTGATTGGCTGTGGAGTAGATTGACTGGTCATCGGTAGCGCCGATTGCCAAAGCCCCGCCCCTCACATATTAGCGCTACTATTCAGTGGAGCTTTTCCATATATTCCATGCATTACCTTTAGAGATTAAAACATAACGTTTGAATTTGGTTTACCAATCAAATGCATTTATTCTATATTTTTACTTTTTACCCTTGCACCACGTATCAATCAGGTGATCTCTGCAATGTACGCATTCACCTCTTCACTTCGTTCTGGCATAACCTGTAAATGGTCATGCAAAGAACAATCTTCGATAAGTAAAAATGTAAACTATTCTAAAAGAAAGTGAGAGCGGCTATTCTAAAAAAAATGAGGAGAGAGGGGAAAACATGAGTTAGTCACTAAAATCCACAGCTAGTTTATTTTACTAAAGCTGATGATGGAGTGGGAGTTGTGGAACCGCAAATGGACCGGACACATGAGCAGATAAAAACACAGCGTCATCATCCCCACAGAGTTTAGGTTAGTTTGATTATTAACTTGATAGATATTGCTTTTTGTGTTTGAACAAACTCTATAGGCCTAGTATATTCGCTTATGGGTTGAGAAATTCATTTTGCGCGTAATGATGTAAGCTTTTCATTTAAACGCATTTTAAGCATTGTGGTTTAAAAACAAATGTAACTGTTCAGGGACATTACGCAGTGGGGCAGAATTCATTTTGGCAAATGCGCACGTTGCGGTTTCAGCCTGACTCGCGTGGCGCGCATCTGCTCGTACAGCGCCAGTCTAAACTTTCGTTATTTTTCGTGCCTTGTGCTTAAACGTTCAAATGCACAGTTATGTGTCAAATGTCTCCTCATCAACACAGTTATCTGTGTCTTAAACGAACGTTAATAGTTAAATATACAGAGACTTGTGAAATAGATTTTCATGACTTTTCAAAAACTTTTTGAGTTTATTTATTTTTACAAAACTTTCTAGGCCTGGAAATTGCTGTTCAATGACTTTTCCAGGTTTTTCATGACCGTACGAACCCTAATGTGATGATCGGGTGCGGTTATCTAAATCATACAAAAATACAGGTGCGGGCGGTTGGCGGGTGGATAATTTATTTGAAGCTGCGGATTCGGGTGACGTTTTAGCTCATCCGCGCATCACTAGCGCACACACAGAGTGTTACTTGAGAGTTAAATTAGATTTTTATTTTTTTTAAAAGCGAGACAATGACAAGCTTGGAGCCTGGTTTATTCCCAGTAAAGTGTGTGTGTGGTCCTGGTAAACCCTAGATTATGGGAACAAAATGCCTTAAAGATGGCAATATCCAAAATCCTTGTCCTTGTGGGGACATTTTTTTGGTCCCCATGAGGAAACAAGCTTATAATTCAAAGATTTTTTATTCTTTTTATAAATGCTAAAAGTTTCCAGTGAGGGGTAGGTTTAGGTTGGTGGAGGGCAATAGAAAACACAGTTTGTACAGTATAAAAACCATTAGGCCTATGGAATGTCCCTTATGGGACATGGAAACCCAACTTGTGTGTGTGTGCGCAGAGATGAGGGCCTCTGGGATGGATCGATCGGTTTGTGAACGCTCATATGATGCTGACACAGTCCTGTCATTGACATTCACATCCCAGCATCAGACTCTTTACCACACAGTGACACAGCCAATGTGTGTCAGGCCAGGCCATTAAAACTTCAATGTGTCAAAATCACTCTCTAATAGGGAGAAATATCTGCATCTCTGCATTCCCATTACCAGTGAAAGTCGAGAAATGTATGTATGCATGCAAAATGAGTTATGATAAACAACATACATGTTGTCTAAAAATATGTAAATATATATATATATATATATATATACATTTTTAAATCTGCAAAAATGTCAACGATTCTGTGTTTTTCTGTCAATATGGGGTGCTGTGTGTACATTAATGATGAAAAAAAATTAACTTAAATGATTTTAGCAAATGGCTGCAATATAACAAAGAGTGAAAAATTGAAGGGGGTCTGAATACTTTCCGTACCCACTGTATATACATTTTTATGTAATTACAAATTATATAAATAAAATTGTGTTCACATACACACAATTTATGTAGGTAGAAATAAACACCCACTTTTATATAGATATTAATTAAAATTATTTGTAATTAATTATATTTATAATACAATTTTGTTCATTACATATTTTAAATGTATTAAAAATTTCAAATGAAAACGCTTAACACCCAGCCTGAAATGTAAGAGCTTGTCAGTTCTTCGACCTCTATTACAGCCCATGTTCTTTAACACCTGGAAAAACTCTACATATGGCAGTGTATATTAATGCACTAGACCAAGACAAAGTATTAGGGGCACCAGTAAAACTGTTCTACTGCATTTACACCTTGAGTGTAACTGTGCCACACACGCGCAGATTTAATTAGCAGGAAGTAGCGAGAGGCGTTCTGTGCATTTCTCAATCCCCTGCAGATGTTCTATGCAGTATTACCTCATGACCTCAGCACATTGCAGCCAACCCGCACAGGAGATTAAGTCCAGCTTCTCTGGTGCTAGAAAAATCAGTAACCTATTACACCTTCGGCTTGGGTCATTTATCAAATTTGGAGGAATATAGCCAAAATAGATGAGGCCAATTTACTCTACCCATTACCTATAAAAACATTATCAGTTTTCAATTATTTAATATGAGATACACACACACATTAGTAATGGTCAGGCTCGCTAGATAATTAGCCAGCTTGGCACTTTCAGGAACCGGAAGTGCTCTGTGTAAATGTTTGCCTTTATTGAGAATCAGTACTAATACCACATTAAAACAGTCTTAGATCAGCACTAAACGAGGCTGGGCTTCTCACCCTGGATCCTGAGGTGGTGTCCGCAGGGGATGAGGAGACGGTGACAGAGCACTCGCTGACCATACTGGGAGGCCTCGGCTCTGGTGGTGGCTTGGACATGCGTAAATTTGCCCTGCAAGAGTTAGAAATAAAAGACACGATCTTTACCAGGTATAAAGTGTGATTACAAATACAAGGTGAAATCATCAGTGAAAAAGGTACATTTTTGTAATTTAATAACCAACAAAAGTAAAGCAGAGCCTGGGGATGCATGCAAGTGTTCAAAAGTGGAAGAGACTTGAGTCACACATTGACAAACACATTCCCTGAGGGCAAACTGCTCAGAGACCAGAACAGGAGTAGTCAACAGACAATATCATAACTCAGCATACGCAACTCTAGTGAGAGTATTAGTCTCAGGTGACCTAAATATGGTAACAGTGACAACAACACATTAAGAAAAATATCCTAAAAGACACAATCAGCACCTGTCAATTAAGTCTACATCTATGTATATATCTATGTATATATCTATCTATCTATCTATCTATCATTTTATTTATCTATCAGTCTATCTATCAATGTATCTGCATATATACATATTATATATTTAGCTACCATATCTATGTACCATACAGTACCTATATCTATCTACTAACCTACAGTATATCTACATAGTCTGCATGAGTCTAACGGTTCCACTGGAATTATAGTAAAAAGAGTGTAAACACTCATATCAAAAGTGATGTTTGTTAAATAGGTGTTTAATAATAAATGATTAACCAAATGTTTGTGAAATGCCAGAGCCACAATCACTGTGATACAAATGCCTTAATGCCAGGCTGCTTCCTGGAAGTATTTGGGTCCATTTTTCTTTCCTAATAAGGAGAACTGCATAAAAAGCTGCATTGAGATTCAGGTAATGCTAATGTAACATTTTGGGTAAATCAGCAGAGAGAAGAGTAGAGCGCCAGAGAGATGAGGGAGAAGGGGGGGAATAGAGGACAGAAGAAAGGTGAAACAAACTGTCAGAGCTGCCACTGCAGGCAACAAATAAAAAACTTCTTCCAAACACTGTCAAAGAGAAGTGTCAAATTCAGAGACTGCAGGGAAAGGTATAACCTAGAGCGAACGCCACCAGAGAGCTGCACCGTTCAACCAAACATCTGTCACATTTCTAAATCTCCTCCAAGTAAATGACAAGGCATTTTGGACTGGTACCCAAGGAGTTATAATTCATTGGATAGACAGTTGCCTTTTCCCATAAAAATACAAAATTAATTTGTTATTGGGTAAATAGTTTATACGATGGAACAAAATACTATGAACAAATTCTGGGGGCAGACCTAAAATCAGAGCCAGACAGCACAGCCACAGAGTGCCTACAGTCTGTCTGATGCATATTACCCACAAAATTGCCCAGCGCTGGCTGAAATAACCTACTGCAATGGGATTGGCTGGCTCAACACATCTTCCAGAAATAAGGCTGCATAGGGTTTTTTATCAGTGTGCCTGGAAACAAAGCTATTTACAAGGTACCAGACTGTTCACATCTCATTTATTTTCCCTTCTTCTACCTTGTAAGCTCCAGCTCTGGTTTCAGCTTTGTATATCACTAACACCTCATCTGTGTTGCAGAGCAATACCTACTGGTGGCATCAAATCTCTGCAAGATAAAAGTTTAATTAGAGGCACTCACTAGCAAGAACCACAGGGGTCTTTATTAATTTCCAGACGCACTACAAATAATTTTCTGCTTTTTTAAAAACAGTTACTAAATGGCATGTAAAAACAAAACAGATTGCATTTGGTATCTTACATGCTAGTCAGGCAGTCTCTTCCTGTTTAAGTGGGTAAATTAATAGCAAAAGTGCACCAGACAGTCAAAAGTCTGGCTATGCGAGACTAAGGCCTACAGTAAGTGAAATAAAAACAGCAACACTGGTACTCGAGCATATAATTGAGTAGACTCTCAGAGGCCATCAGAGTAGTAACAAAAATCTCTCTTACTAACAGCTCTGTCTCTCAGGGACACTCTTTTAGAGAATCATCTGAAACTCACACCATCACTGACATCACACAGAAGGTGTGGACACATATGGTGAACTCTGATGTATGAGTGGGTTGAATCTAGAACACATTGAGAGAGCAGATAAGTGAAAAACCTACTGCTCTTAAATCATTGGCTTCATAAATCAAATAACACACTCGGGACATAAGGGTATATATAATTGACCCAATGTGAGGGGAGAAACTTTGGGAAAAGCTGTAATAGCGTAATAGAGCTGTTGCTGGCAGAATATGATTTATTCCACTTTGACAAAAAAAAACATGAATTTATTAGTATTTATTAAATTATTAGTATTGTATATTATGTAGATTTTTTTATTCCACAAACATAACATTCAGTTATAACCCGATAAAATATAACAAAACTAAACCAAAAATAATGTATTATAGATTTCTATCGAATCACATTTGAATCTGAGGCAGTTTTTTTTTTTACCACAAATCTACAAATACAAGTACTGATAATAGAAAATAAACCAGTGAGAAACAGAAATGCATGATGCAAATGAACAAGGTCATCAATCCAAAAAAAAATGCTGCTAAAACTCACCAAAGTAAGCAGATTTCCAAGCCACATGTCAGGCTAACTGCACGCTTTTCATGGGTGCTTACAGTAAAACACAATAACCCTGTCCAAAAACGGACACATGCACACACACAGGCAGTCCCTCAATAAAACCATAAACAGCTTTTTTTCCTGTGGAATGTGAGGAGTTCCTGTAGTGTGACAGAGTCAAGAGGTGTTTGTGGCCCGTGTACAACATCAAAACAACAGGAAGCTACAGCAGCATTGTCATGGAAGAGCTGCGGACTGAAACAACGCTGCTTCTTTCTCCCCCTCATTTTTCACCTCACAAACTGGCTTCCATCCAAAATTGTTTGAAGTATGTTTGCACCCTGGGACTTACTAGTGTTTTATCTAGGCTTCATATTATTTACCTGCACTGTCTTTTGAATGGATGGGCACAGAGGGCCTTTATTTTATGCTGGAGAGATGAGAAAGATCCTGGCTGAAGCTCAGCAACATCTTAGTCTAAAGAAAATTCCCAAATGCTCAGAGCTCCACAGAGGGGGAGCCTCAGACCCAATAACCTGATTAAGTTGCATAATACATAGCATACAGTGGTATATAATGAGCTCCACTTACATTACATGATGATACAGCAGTTCTCAAACTGCTACCAAATAAACAACAACATGAGTAATGGAATCAGATACAGAAGTACTTTGTTAGGTACCATGTACTCAATGATTACCATATTCAGAAACCATGATATTTAAATGGTAATTTTTTGTTAGTGATGAATGTATTAAAAAAAAAAAACAATGACTGACTGACTGTACAATATCCTGCTTATTGCACAACTGCCTACCAAATATATAAATAAATAGTTTAGATCACACTAGTTTAATAAAATAGTTTAGAAGCCACTAAATATCTTCAAGCAAAATGCCACAACTGACCTATCATTATTATTAATATTTATATCCAACATAATATAAATAAAAAGTATTCTCCAATATGAAATCTATTATAATAATATATTTAATTTCATTTCATTTCATTATACCAGTACCACAGTTTTTTTATATACACTGAACAAAATTATAAACGCAACACTTTTGTTTTTGCCCCCATTTTTCACATTTTTCACGAGCTGAACTCAAAGATCTTCAAAGACTTTTTCTATGTACACAAAAGGCCTATTTCTCTCAAATATTGTTCACAAATCTGTCTAAATCTGTGTTAGTGAGCACTTCTCCTTTGCCGAGATAATCCATCCACCTCACAGGTGTGGCATATCAAGATGCTGATTAGACAGCATGATTATTGCACAGGTGTGCCTTAGGCTGGCCACAAAAAAAGGCCACTCTAAAATGTGCAGTTTTATCACACAGCACAATGCCACAGATGGCGTCGTGTGGGTGAGCTGTGAACAATATTTGAGAGAAATAGGCCTTTTGTGTACATAGAAAAAGTCTTAGATCTTTGAGTTCAGCTCATGAAAAATGGGGCAAAAACAAAAGTGTTGCGCTTATAATTTTGTTCAGTGTATGTATAGGGTTTTTTTGTTGTTGTTCATTAATAGACATTACATAATATTTCACAGAAACACTTCATTTAAAGAGGAAAAACTGACATTTTTCAAAAGTGAAATTAACTGTAATGTACATGAACTGAGGATCTGTTAAACATATAATGTACTAATGTTTATTAAAATCCCAGCTCAGCTTACTGGCATATGGGAAGACAGAAATTAATGGAAAGGAAGAGGAGAGGAACAGGTGCTGTGGTACGCATTTTAATGGAATATTAAAGAAAATGAACAATTATTAATATTATAGTAATTTAACTTTGATTTACTGTATATTTATGGTTGATAACGACTAATAATCCATAACAGCAAGCCTCCAGTTCCACTGAACTATTCAGGTTGCTCATTGATTCCATTAATATTCCCCTGGTTCTCTGTTTATTCTAAGCGTAGGTAGTTTCAAATTATCTGCCCAACATTGTACCCACCTGCTTTGCAGTCAAAATAAAGTACAGATTAGCAGATATCTTTATTTCAAATACTATTTAGTAGTGCAGCTTCAAGCAAAAAAAACACCCACATCACCTTCACAGGAAAATGCAATAACAGTAATAGCCATCATTACCATTACCTCTGGATATTTCCAGCTGATTTGCTGATTCCAGCACAGGCATATGATATCAGTGGCTCGTGAATCATTACTATACATCTCATTACTCGAGCATCTGTTAAAGAACAATTAAAAAATCTTGCAGCTATTCATTTAATCCAAGGCCCTTAAGAACTTCACAAACATGGCTAACCATACAAATAACCTGCATTGACCTCTTAACCATATGCCCTCAGAGAAAGCAGGAAGTGTGTATCCTAAAGTACATTTTGTGCAAATAAAAGGAAGAGAAGCACTCACTGGTCCTGTAAAATGAAGTCCGTGTTTTCTGAGGATATATGTCCCGTCACAGGATGCCTGAATGTCGTCGTCCTCAGGTTGTGGCTGGATCCAAGAAGAAAGGGAAGGAAATGGGGAAAAACAAGAGCAGAAAAACAAAATGAGCAATCCAATATTAATCATTCTTAATTTGGCACTTCCCTCCCCCGCTGTGGCTACTGTAGCCATAAGAGCAACATTCTACAGGAATACACTAAGTTTGAGGGATTCTGATGACTTTCCCGCAGGAGCGCAGAATGTGTGGCAGCGCTGAAGCCTGGCCAAGCCCACTCATATTATTTAACACAAAGCGTGGGGCTAAGCACAAACCGCTGCAGAAACTTTATTGATTTCAATTACACAGGGTCATTCACTGTTTTAACTAGAGCATTAAAACATCTCACTGTCATCAGGTGTAATAAGACAGAGACAGGGGCTTCTAAGGGTGAGAGGACTGTGAAATAACACACATAATACGCCTGCTGTCATCGATTCAGTTATTCATTCTGTCTTCACATTGTGTGTTTGGCTGAAAGGGAGCGAGTGGTGGTAATTTGATGAGTAAGAAAGATCACCACGTGAGTAAATGTGGTCCTATATGAGGAGAAAAGGCTCCACCACAAATCACTTATCTGCCCATCATCATTTCCATTATGTTTAAAAAAACTACAGTATAAGTCACTTTGCCTCAGCGACTCTCTGTGGACTCAAGGCTGATAGATACAGCTAAGAGAACAGGCATAGTCATGCTTCAGGTTCGCTAGCAATTGTATAGCAAAGCGAAGAAGTCCTTCACAGTAGACAGAGGTTAGAACAGATGTTAGAAATAAAACTACACTAGTAAAAAAGCAATATATTTAAAATACATTTATTTCATAGTAAGTGTACAGTGCAAATCTATTAACATATTTACGGACATATCGCTTGAGACTTTCTGATATCAAAATTATAATTAAACGTTTTTTTTTGGAGTACTACTTGTGCCCAATGCACATTTCTTAATATTAAGCCTAAAATGTGTTTTAATGTCACTATTGATAAGGATTGTATGATATTTGAATCATATCGGTCTTTAAATGCAAGATATTTAAAGTGTACGTGAAGTTTACTTGCAATAGTTCACACTCAAATATACTTCAGTATATCTTTAGTTGGACCTCAGCTCTACTTCCGCACAATTACTTTTGTAACATTTCAAAAAGTGAAACTTTCATATTTTCTAGATTCATTACATGTAAAGTAAAACATTTCAAAAAATTTAGAGCTTACAGCTCATGAAAGTCAAAAATCCAGTATCTCAAAATATTAGAATATTTACATCTGAGTTTCATTAAATGACAATCCCTACAGTATAAATTCCGGGTACCACAATAATGGGGAAGACTGCTGACTTGGCAATGGTCCAGAAGAACAGAATCCAAGCTGCTTGAAGTCCAGTGTGAAGTTTCTGAAGTCAGTGATGATGTGGGGTGCCGTGACGTCTGCTGGTGTTGGTCCATTGTGTTTTATCAAGTCCAAAGTCAATGCAGTCGTCTACCAAGAGATTTTGGAGCACTATGCTTCCATCTGCTGACAAGCTTTATGGAGTTGCTGAATACAATAAATAAATGTATTTATTTATTGTAAGTGTACAAGTACAAGTGTTTATTGACAGTGTATAAGGTGACCTTCAGTCCAGGGCAGCAACAGCACTCAACATTCTGATCTGGAGATGATTAAAGGGTACACATACAAAGCAAGCAACAATGAATAGAACAGAACTTATTTTTCCTCTTAGCACTTAGTTGATTGGAAGACTAAAGAGATGACAGGAAATGATATGAACTGGACTGCCTGCATGAGCAGCATGGCTCAGAACACTCAAACTGCTACACAAAACATTAACAATAAGTGATCTAATTCACCAGAGATATATGTCAACATCCCCCAAAAACAGCCTCTCTTACAAGCCTTCCTTGTGTAGCAGGTGTGTATTTAGGAAATGATTTTGTGATTCCACTTGTCATGACCATATTTGGGGTTTATTATTGTTATATGTTCTTAAAGTGTTTTTGTGAAAGTATATTGCCCCAGTCTGCATGAGACGTCACAATGTTTCATTGATTATTTTTCTTTATTTAAGTTTCTTTTTAATATCTGTAATCTTCTCTTTCTCAGCGTCGTGCATTGCTGCCGCACGCTGGTTTAAATGCTGCACGAGTCCTCATATATATTCGTTTGTGTTATCCAGAATAAATGAGGACCTGATGGAAAGAATTTTCGCATTCTGTCTTTCGTTTCGACACAACGCAGAAAACACACCGCTACAACTGGTGCCGCGACCATTGCTTCACTCTTTGTGAGACCAATGCCACATGCGAGTGGAGGCGTGACCGGGGGATAGGACCGCTGCAACGTGACTGAGTGGATGAGAGGTTCGCCATCTGTACATATAAACTGTGAACGGGATACCTGATTCGTGAAAACTTCTTTAGTATTTAGTGGACTGAAATATCTTGATCCGTGAATTGAATTCATTCTTCAAAGGACTTTAAATACTATCTTGAGTTATTTTAGTGTTGACCGCTGGAATTCTAAATTATATTGTTGATTTTTATTTTATAGATTTTTTTATTTTTATTTTATTGTAAAAGAAGAAAAAGTCAATTACAAGAAGTATTGTGATTTGAATAGCTGATTCTGATATGGAAGGTTCTAATATTCAGAACAGTATGGGAAGAGGGAGAGGGGTACTGAGGTTTGCTCATACACATCAGATTGGTGGGGCTGATAAAATAGGTCCACTTTTCTCAACCCCTATTCACACAAGAAGTGTTGATGTGCAGACACCTATTGTGTCTCAGTCTTGTGCCGTTTCTGATGATTCTGTGCAATTATCTGATTTAAATGCTGTGCCAGTGAACCTGATTAATGACATAGTGAAACAGATAGGCAGCAGCATTGGACAGAACATAGTCACCTGTCTTGAATCTGGGTTTTTTGGCCAAAACAAACAAAGTGATTCAACTTTCAATATGAGTGAACTGTCAAAAGTTAACTTGGTTGTTAAGCATGATGTCAATGAGCCTCCATATTTCAGAGGTGATGGGGTGGAGAAAATTTCTGTTGATGAGTGGGTGGAGAGTACAAAAGTGTACTTAAGGAAGCATGAAGTGCCCTTGAAAGACCAAGCTGACAAAGTACTGACTAAGTTGCAGGGCAGAGCACGTGATGTGGTGAAGGCTGGACTGAGAAGTAACCCATTGATCGACCTCAGTAAGGGTCCAAAGCCAGTTTTTGACCTGCTCAAACAACATTGTAGTGACACTGTGTATTCGTGCATGCCTTTGGCAGATTTTTACACCACATTGCCATTGCTAAACGAGAAGCCATTCGACTATTGGATTAGGCTGCACAATGCTATTGACATTGCTGGGGAAGGACTGAAGAGACAGGGAAAAACTCTAGATGACCCCTTTCGTGAAGTTACAGTAATGTTTATCAGGAACTGTCCTGATCCAGAGCTGTCTCTTATATTCAAGTGTAAGCCACTGCATGAATGGACTGCAGCCGATGTGCAGGTTAGACTGGATGAGTATCAAAGGAGAATAAGCTTCAACAACGCAAGTCTAATGCACATGTGAGTGGCATTGCGTGCCATGCTCAGTCAACGGACAGTTTGTGTGCCCACGGTCGTGGTTTAGAGACAGCTGCTGCTGTGATACCTCCATCCCAGGTGACTGAGCAGTCTACTCAGGATCAGTCTTTGAGTCGAGTGATCAGTCTTTTGGAACGAGTTTTGGATCAGGGATCTTGTCAGCAGACAACAAGAGTGTTCAGACCTCAGCATAAGGGAAGGAGTGCTGTGCCCAAACAAAATGCAGCATGCGAATTATGTGGTGATGCAAGTCATGACACTTTTTCACACTGTCGAATAAACCATCTGTGCTTTAACTGTCATGCCTCTGGTCACAGAGCATCAGCTTGCTCTGCGGGGACTGCCAACAAACCACAACTTCAACAGAGTAGTCCTGACTCTGGTCAGTTGGGAAACTAGATGGCCCACATGAGGAGGGGATTAGTGGAGGGCCATGTGTAATGTCCCCTGACAGTGAGGATATTGATTTGGAATCTGTTTATTCTGACTTTTGCAGTAGTGTTGATGACAAGACAAAAGTGATTTTTCAAAATGTGCAGAGACTTAACACAAATGATGACTTGTTCTTTACTGATGTCTTGGTACAGGATGTTGTTTTGCTTCGAGGAATGCTTGATAGTGGGTCTATGGCCTGTACTATGAGTTCTAATGCCCTGTCAAAACTCATAGGAACAAATGCACTTTCCTCTGATGACGTAGCCCCAACAATGCTCACACTGATTGGCTGTGGTGGTCAAAGAACAAGCCCACTGGGAGTATGTGATGTCCAGATGAAAGTATTTAACTGCTCCTTCTCTGTACCTGCCTTAATTGTTGATGGGCAAAATGCTGACCTAATTTTGGGAAGTAATGTCATAAAACATCTCATTCATGACATGAAAGTATCCAGCGATTTCTGGGGTAAGGTATCTGACTCATGAGGCAAAGATCCTGATACAGGTGCTTTGATGCAACTCTTGTGCAATGTTGAGTCATGGAAAGGAACGGATCCCCCTACAAAAGTAGGAACTGTAAAACTGAAGCATGCTGTCACTTTGGAACCCATGAAAGAACATATAGTGTGGGGAGTGAACTCCGATTGTGTTTGTTACTCACACCCTGACGAAGGCAAAATAGCCACAACGCGTAGGTGTGCACTTGTCACCTGTTCTTAAAACTTATAACCATGATGAAATAAAGGCTTTTTAAATTTTTTTGAATAAGATTCGAGTGCCTTGGACTACCATTATTCTTACGTAGTGTGGGGAAAGTTGTTCAGTGACAAAACCCTTTCTGCGGGCAGTACAGTCGTTGTGGAGCCTAGCACAGCGCACGCTGCACCAAGAAATGTGTTGGTGGGCAGGATAGTAGTGTCTTTATGGGGTGATGGCAGTACTCCGGTTAAAGTTATCAACCCATCGAACAAGCCTATCTGTCTAAGACGTAACTG